TCCTGTTAGTTATTTTTTAAAAATGTCCTTTCGTTTGGATGTTCACGGTGTTTCCTCATGATTAGATTGAGGTTCTACATCTTTCTCAGTATATCATATAAGGGGTATGTGATATTGTACGTTTTATTACTGGTGATGTTGACCTTGATTGCTTGGTTAAGGTGATGTATTCTGGGTTCTTCATGGTAAAGTTATTATTTTTTCTTTTGTAGTTAATAAAATATTTCTGAGGAGAGACCGAGACTAGCTAATTGTTCTGTTTGTCCTCAAACTTTTGCCCACTAATTTTAACATTCATCAGCAAATCTTGCCTACAACAGTTATTCTTGTAGTAATCTGTCTGGTGGTGAATTTTTTCTTTCATTGCTTCTACGTTTATTAGTTGGAAATCTTCTGTAAGGAAGAGCTATTCCTTCTCTTTTATTCATTCGGTTATTTATACCAGTGTAGACTCATCAATATTTGGCCATGGGAAACTCTTTCAGATTGGCTCCTATGCCCTTTTAACAAGTTCACGTCCTTTTTTGCACATTTCTGTACTTTATGGCAGTATAAGATACTCCAGATTTATGTTTTCCCTGTTCCATTCCTGAACCAACCACTTCTCCTAGGGCTGCTTTAAAATTAAACTTCATTAGGAACTCTCTGTGAAATAAGAAAGACCACCTCATTTGGTGCTATCTGACTTTGAACTTCTTTTTTATATTTTGTAACTCTAATCTCTCTGGTCTATATTTAGGGTAACTTCCTATCCGTTAGGTTAATAATTTCATTGGCTATATATTTTTCACTTCTAGAGATTCTATTTGGTTCTTTTCCAGATTTGCCATTTTTCCATCATGCCATATTCTTTTACTGGGAATTAAATGCCTTGTCTTTCATCTTGAATTCTTTTAAGTGCTTTTGTATTACTTTCTCCTTGTCCTGTTACCTGAAGATCTTGGGTGTCTTAATCCTGCTATTTGCTATTTTGCTGATTCTCACTCATGTTGGACTTGTGTATCATATGTTTTGAAATTTTTCTTTCGTCATGAACTCATTTTTAGAGGTGTTTATTTTTTGTGTGTGAATCATTTGGGTTATGTGTTATAAGATTATCCGTCAAGAGTGGTTCAGGAGCCCATAACTCACTACCTTTTTAAATACCATTACACTAAGGGTATAGCCTTTCAAGGGTGCTGGTTTTATGTGGGGGTCTCAGTTCCAACTCCTCATCTTCTGTAGGCTAAAGGCTATATCTCTTACTGTGTGGGCATTTAAACACAGCTTTTAGATTATGGAAACTGACAACTTCCTTACAATAGCTCAGTGCAGGTATTTCCTTCTTTTGTTTCTTTATCAATCATTTCAGCTGTGACCCATCATACTGCCGGATCCAGAAGTCAATCTGTTTTTTGAAAACAGACAAGTCATTGAGTAATGAGCAGAACAGGGCAGAACAAGCTAGTAAATGCCATGACCATGAGCCTGACTAATCTGATATAATTTAACAGATTGCACAGGTTAGTGGATCAAATCCACAGGGCCCAAGGAGACGGACATAGCAAGAAAATGATAGGTTGAATCCAAGAAGCTCTCAGGGCCAGAAGATCTACTCAAGAATAGCCCAGGATTGAGAAGGTCAGAGAAAGCAGCCTTCTTTACTAGAGGCTTCCCTGCTCCCAATTATGTATGGGCTAGCCTGGGTTTGCAAATATTCCCCACGGGTATACCTTTCTTACACTTAAGGCCAGAATTCATGGCTGGGATTCTAGAATATTTTCTCATGGTCTATATGTATAATACCATTTCACGCATTAGTTTTTAAACTTAGTAGGAAGTAGACTTTTAAAAAAATTTTTTGTAAGCTCTTGAAAATACTTGGAGGATATAGCCTCACTCCCCACCTAGCACCCTTGGGAAGGGCAAGAACCTTTCTGTACTTCTGAAATTGATGGCCAGAGATCTTTTTTTGTTGATCTGAAAAATGCATCAGATCATCTGGGAGGTCATACTTCCTCCTGGTATTTTGATTTATAGAAATGTTCAAATAACAAAGCTGTTGTTGACCAATCTCATGTCTGAGTTTTAGTCCTTTTTTCCTCTTGCCTGCAGGATATTTCTCTCTGGATGTCTTTCCATCAGTTCAAATTAAACACATCTCAAACAGAGTTATTCAGCCCCCATCTCCTGCAAATGTGCTCCTTTTTCCAGTTTTCCCTCCTTTTTTAATGTTGCTTTTTATTCACCCAGATCTCTTGGTTCAAAGTATTCCACTTTCCAATTTATTCTCCAAGTCCTTCTTTTTTCTAAATCTTTATTTTTTATAGTGCTGCAGAGGGGAGTAGAAAAGGAAGCAGCCCTTATACTGGGCCCTACTCAGTGGCAGCTTCTTGCTCCATAGGGTTAAGGAAGACTTTGTGGAAATTAAATTTTGGAAAAATCCAGGTGTAGTTGCTTTTTATGTTGCGATGGATAGAAGGGATGAAGTGAAGAGCGAAGGCCCCTCACTCCCTCCATCTTACCTCAGACTATGCCCTGGAGCCCTGGGGCAGAGAAAGCGGTACTTAAATTTCTGCTTCTTGGGATTGTTGACTGCCACATAGTAGAAAATGACAAGCAGGAAGAAAGACACGCCCAGCATGTTGGCGAAAATGGCAAGCCGCATGTCCTTATCAGCTAGGCTTGGCTCCAACGTGGTCTGCCTTGTTCTCCAAGTTCTTTTAATTCTTTACTCTCTACCTCAAATTTATCACTGCTCAGGTTCCAGTACCATCAGTAGTTAAGTACTGATAATCTGTTATATACTTATTACTGCGCTAGGTAGTGAGGAATGAGAACTGTAAGACGTGGTCATTGTCTTTAAAAAAAAAAAACTTAATATCTAGTTGATGAGACAACTCGCATTCACGAAAAGAGTGAACAATATTAGACAGTATATAATTAAATGCTAAATTGGGTGATACAGAGTTTTAAGTGTTAGAAATTGGAGGAAAGAAAAGGATAAAATGAGGGCTTGAATCGTAAGAGAAAACTTAATTGTGGAAGTGAGATTTGACCGGCTCTTGAAACAACATAGATTGAAGTTGGATAGGCATTTAAGGTGAGGAGAAAGCATGGACAATTAGTGGGTATACTGAGCATAAGATCTTTAGAAAACTTTTTAGGATGTTTATGTTATAGGAATTGGAGAGAAAGAGGTAGATGACTGCTTTGACTTTGGCTATAAGACTACCAGATGAATCTTTCAAAGGTAGCATTTTAATTTTATTTATTCCTCAATTCAGAAATCTCTAGAGGCTGCCTTTTCTTTTTGATTCTCATTCACACTGCTTTGATATTCCAGGTACTCTCTGATCCATGAGCCTCTCCTCACTAGTACTAATGCTTTTGGTGCCTACAGCATCCTTTTCGTGTATGTTTTGACTTTTGTTTTCCATTTCCTTATGGATTATCTGCCTGGTTTTGTTCATTCCTCCTTTGAGTCCCATTTTAAGACTTACTGCCTCTTGAACCCTCTCTGATGACTCCCATCCACTGACATATCTTTCCTTCCTAGATTCTTCTTGAAACTATTTTCTGTCGAACTTAATTCAAAATCTAATCCTATACCTTATGGTTTTCCAGTAATTTAGAATTATATACATTTCGCTTTCAACAGGGTGCTAAGTTCTTTGAAGGGTTAGATTATGTTTTATATTTTATTGTTCCTTTTGTATACTACTCTGGGTATATACTTGATGTTGAAAGCTTTTAAGAACTTTTTAAAAAAATTTCAACACTAATTTACATTAGAGCTACTTCTTTGTGTAAATTTGCCTATTATCATGCCTGGCACATAATACTGCCCTTAGTATATGTTAATGGAATCCAAATTTTGAGTGGATCCCAAGTCTAAGAACATTTTTCTTCTCTTTCAAGGAAAGTAGAACATAAGAGCAAAAGTACTGAATGCAAGTTTTCTGAAATACTCTTTCTTCTGTCTTCTTTGAGCTTTTCCTTAATCTATGTCCTTACATATATGTTATTCATTTATTTTTGACATATTTTTACCGACTACCTCATGTAGCTTCTCTAAATAGTTTATGTATGTAAATGGAGATAAATTGTGTATGTTAATTCAAGCTTAAGAGATGAGATTGGAGTATTTTAGAAAATTAACCCTTGTTAAACTCTGTCTAATTGATCTGTGTTGGTACTATTTCTGCCCGAGTTTTAAATTTTTAGTAAAATATCAAAAGTGAAGAAATCATCTTTTATAGTTGGAATTGAAGTTAAGAAGACATTTGCCTATCCATAAAACCAGATATTGAAGTGAACTAAGAATACTTGGTTTAAGGAAATCGGATCAAGTTAAAAATAGAATTTTGGTTGGGCTTTAGATTTTATCACTTAACCTCTTAAAAAATCTGAAGTGACTAAAAAAGTCTTAAATTATTATTATAAATAATATAATTATTCTCCTACCTCCTTTAAAAATTTGTTAGAGTGGTTATGTAGTTTGAGCAGGGCTGAAAAACTATAAGAACTGTGGATACCTGGCTTTAGAAATGTCCTAGCATTATCTTACCATTCTTTGTTTCAGGGACTGGTTCCTCAACAATGTATGTACCTAATCTGGAGTTTATTTTTTTTTATAAGTAGATTTTTTTTTTGATAGAGACCCGAACTTTATCTTTATTTATTTATTTTTAAAGTCAAATCTCCTTCCATTACCATATATTTGAATTTATTGTCTGTGCAAGTGTGTGTGTTGGGGTGGGTGGCGAGTTAGTTTTATTTTCTTGGTTAACCAAAATAAAGTGGTAAAAAAAGCAATCATGAGAGGCAGGCTGGATCTTCTTTAACAGCAGTTTATATTAGTTTAAATAATTTCTTTTGAGGGGTGATACTTTATCATATCTTCTAGGAATGGTCTTGTTCTTTTCTTAAGTTTCCTTGTAAGGAAAGAAAGCGCTTTTGCTGATGGCGTCACAAGAGTTGGGATTTTGTTAGGCATTGACTTTTTATTTGCCTCACAGGTTGTTTGTATTCGCTCCACTTGGAATGCTCTCTCTCCAAAGCTGAGTTGTGATACAAGACCTCTCATTTTGAAGACCCTCAGTGAACTGTTTTCTCTGGTTCCTTCCTTAACAGTCAATACAGCTGAATATGAGGTATGTGTTTGGAGCTCAATAAATTGTTTCTACACTGAGAAGACATGTGCTTTAGAATAACTTTTAGAAAAAATATTTGTATCCTTTGCTAAAAATCCTTTAGCACTTTTTGTTCTGAGAACATAGTGATATATTTATGGACTCTAGGTGTGGGAGGGTATCCACCCTTATCAATTCTGCGTCTTTAAGACTTATTTACATAAAGAATACCAAGTTTTTATTCTGAGAGTAGAGTCGAAATTTTAAAAAGTCAGTATGTTAAAAATAGTGTTTCTAAAATTATAGAATTCACGAGGCCAACAGTTTAAATTCATTTCATTGGTGTTTTCACTGTTAAATAGTGTACAAAGATTTTAACAAAAGCAGGCAGACTCTCCCAGTAGTTGCAGACATATTGTCATCTGTGTTTTGCTATAGAGATTTGATTTTTACATGTTCATATCCTCTCCCTCCTTCCCTTTCTCCTTCCCTCCCTTCCTCTGTGGGTGTGGGTGTGGGTGTGTGTGTGTGTGTGTGTGTGTGTGTACATATATGTATATCATCTTCATCTGTACTCTTCAGTGAGAATGATTATAAAATCAAGCCATCTTAGAAGAGGAAAATAATTTTATAAACTACTCAGTGTTTGTCATTGTAATGAATTGAAAAACTTGGTGAAAGATGCTTTGCTAAAAGATTCATATATTCCTGCTTAACATTTTTATCACTATTTCTTCTTTGAGTGAAATCAAGAGGGTGGCAAATTCATTTGTCTCCACTTTTGTAGCCATGTTCCCTTCTTTCTTTTCCTTCAAAGAGCAGCAATTGATTTTCACTCGAAGTCTTAGTGGACTTTTAGTTTGATTCAGTGCTTCACAGACTAACAAACTACTCCTCTGTCAGATTCCAGGAATAGTCCCTTTTATGTTTTAGATCACATGATAGGACAGGATTATAGGATAATACTTCTAATTTTCCTAACTACACACAGTGAATAAAATAAAATTTGTTCTTACTAAGGATACAATACCTAGCACAGTGCCTGGCACATAATACATATTTAGTAAGTAGTTGTTGAATACAGGATTGAACCAATACAGGATATTGTGAGTTTATTCCCACATTTGGACTTTTGTTTTAAGGTATTAAAAAAGAATCAGTTTGAAACTCAGAGAGTATATAGTTCACCAACACTTTCTTCTACGGCTTGTATTCACTTTTACATACCTTTACGTTATCAGAAAGTCTGCCGGGCTACTGAGAAAAAGCTAAGACTAAAAACCAAAGGACATGTTGTATATATTTATTTTCTGTCTTCAAGGACTGAACTCATATACCTTGGATTGCTTGTACTTTGAGTTATTTAGCTTTTATTACAGATTAATATATGAAATATGTGCATTTCTTATGTTTGCTTACTAGTGGCTGTAAATTGTCTTTTGGATTAGGTGTTTTTTCCTCTTCAGATTTTACATTCTTTCCACTGTAACTTTATTTTGGTTTATCTTCATGCTTATATTAATATTACGATTGCTCTTTTGTTCAGATAGACTGCTTTGGGGCCGTTCCATTCATCTGTTTCTTCCCTTCAGTGACCATAGTCTACTTGGAAGCAGAAGTAGAGAAATGTAGAGGGAGACCTCTCTCTGTCTCTCTTTCTGTGTCCCTCTCTCTCTCCCCTTCTTACTCCCCATCTCCTCCCTCTCATTTCGTTTCTTTGCTTTCTCCATCTGTCCTTCCCTGTGTGTGTTTAATTTGTTTTCTGTTAACTGCTTAGAGTTTGTTTGGATTTAAGCCAGAGTTCAGTGTAATTTTTCCAAAGCATTTTGTATATCATTGCTATCCCCTAGTCATCTCAGGGCCTTGTGTGTGCCTAAAATGAAGTCCAACCCCTTTATATCTAATCAGTAAGGCCTTTACAATCTGGCCTCACTCTGCTTTTCTGCCTCTTGCACTCTGGGAAAACTGAACTGCTTATAGTTTCTTTATCTGCCTCCAAACTTTTCTTTCTTTTCCTTTGTTCATGTTCTCTTGGTCTAGAATTACTTTCTTTTTGACCTCTAATTTTAAAATCTGTTTTAGGATGTAAAGAATTGGTTTAACTCATTTCATCCTTTGAGAATTTTTCTTCAACCAAGAGTCTATTCCTGCCAAAGTTTTTTTTATCTATACTTTTCTAAGAACATTTATTTCTATTTTATACTACAGGAATATATATATATATATTCTATTTTATTTCTATTCTATATATATTCCTGTAGTATAAAATAGAAATAAAATAGAAATAAATATATATACACACACACACACACATGCATATATTTTCCTCATTAAATTATAAGCTTGTTGAAAATAGAGCCCATGTTTCAATTAGTGTATTTTCTGAATTGCTTTGCAGAGTGTTGGTACATTTATTCATGATTCAAAATATGTTTATTAAAACTATACTAGGCCTTATAGATACTAATAAATAATAATAGATACTATTTTAAAGTACCTGTTATACTCTAGCACTCTTCTTGCTTCTTTATACCAATTAGCTCTAATATCTGATAGAAATGTATTATTTTCCATTTTATAGCTGAAGAATTGAGGATTCAAAAAGTCTACCCATTCATTAAACAAATATTTATTGAGTATCTGCTACATGCCAAACAAGTAACTTGATCAATACTGTAGTTTCTAATTGAAAGCTAGTGTCTAAATCCAAGACTTTCTAGCTCCATAGCCTTTATTTTTCCATTATATCAAATTGTCATTCCCTGCCTTCCAAAAGCTCTAAGGTTGGTAAAGAAAGTAGGCATAAGCAGTAATAATTGTAATAATATTTGATGAGTACCATTAATCAAAGGGCTATGAGAGTGTGGTGGGAAGTAACCAGGATTCTTAGGAGGAATTTAAGACAACCTTATTTAGTTGGTGTTATTACACTATGATCCTGAAGAATTTCTAAAATATTGCTTCCCATTGGAAATTGGGGAATAGAATATGCGAAGGCAAGGAAATACAGAAGAACCTTAAATGATTTAGAAGTACAAGAAGTTGGATGTGGCTTAAACGAAGAAGACATTGAGTGTTGGAAGATAAATGGCTTATGCTCAATTACTCATTAAATATTTGCCATTTGAGGAACTGGGTTTTGTATTCTTTATGTTCTGGGCTTTGTGGTCTAGGCCTTTAAATTAAAAAGCCAGTCACTGCCCTAAGGAATGTACAACCTAGTAGAGAGTTAACCACATGCACACAGTTAATCATACTAGATACTAAAGTACTCCATGTGTCATATGGCCACTTGGAGAAGACAGAACTCTCTTCGGGGTAAGGGGTCAGGAAGAGTGGCATGAAAGAGAGGGGTACATTTCTACTAGGACTTGAGAGGTCAGTAGGAAACAGTTGAGTTTGTAAATTTATTAATCTTATAATCTAATTATGTTTAAAATATCCATGTGTTTAAATGATGAGTCTGTTTCTAAGTATTTTCATTTTATGAATGATGGGTAAATACAGAATAAGTCAATTAGTAGTGGTATAATTTCTAAAGTGATTTAATTTCCACTATTTGCTACTTTAGATTGTTTATTCTTCGTTTTATCTTTGCCTTAAAAATTTATTCTGATATTTGTTGATGTTTCAGAATTTTAAAGTTCAAGTCCTCAGCTTCCTCTGGACTCATACTCAAAGCAAGGTACTATTATAAGGGGTGTCAGCAGAACAGAACCAAGCTTGCAAAGAACTGTCAAATAAGATTCTCAGAATGAAAAATATAACTCCTTTGAAATAATTTCTTGATTTTGAAATAATTATGACAAATTTAGGTTTTAAATATTCTCAGTTTATGCTTGTTAATATGTTCGCACCATTAAGTATACTTATTACTTTGTGAAGCTGGTATTTATTGCCATTGTCTCATATTTTTCATGGCCCTTCACCTTTCCTGCTTTGTCCCTCCACCATCAACAAATGTATTAAACAAGCAAAACTCCTGTCCATTTTTTAGATGTTGTTTCTAATCTAGGAGTATAGAGAAAAGGATGTTGGTGATGTTATAGTCAACTCATGAGCGAAAGATTCCAGATGCTCACTTTCCCCATTAGTTTCTGGAGCATCAGAATCCAATTCCAGGCCTATCACACTCTAAACTCTTATACACCTTCCATTAAATCATACTGCCTCATGGGGGCCTGAGTGATTGTGAGTTACTTGATGTTTAGTATCCAAACTAGGATAAAAATTGAGTACTTCTGATACCTCTGGCCAGTGCTTTGGGACAGTGTAAGCAAGGTTTGAATACCATTTCCGAAGCACTGACAGTAGAACTTTGAGGTTGGTGAGGGAAGATTTTTTTCCTTCAGAGTTGATGTTTAATAAATATTGTCTCTTTTGTTTTACTTTTACCCCACCTAGGACCCAGTTATAGCAAATGCTGCATATAAATCTCTGGCACACTTTAGTGCCGGAGAGCACACCATTCTTCATCTACCTGAGCAGGTAGGCCTTTCTGCTTTCTCACTGATCTCTCTTTACTGCTGTGTTTTACAACTTTATTTGTACCGCCCCTCCCTTAGGAGATTCATACCTGATGGATGTATATGTAACTCTGGACATGTCTATGAAAGATAAGAATTTATATTATCTGTTTAATCCCTAAAAGTTTATAGTGGTCTTAGAAGTCACAGATAATGAATTTAAATTTCTTTGAAGCAGGCAGAAGACACCTGTTGTGCACATGAAGTCCCCTTAAGGTGTCCGAGTGTATGACTGCATGCCGGTGCCCATTGCTGCAGAAAATCTATGCCACCACAGGAAGCACTTTAGTGCGCCATCTTGGACTTCTAATTCAAGCATGGCCTGCACAGACTAAGGTTTATGCTTCCTGTGCAGCCAGAGATCTTTGTTTGTGATACAGAATTGAGATGCCATGTGAAAAAATATGCTGTTTATTAGTTTAGTGTGAAATGATGTGTAGGTTAGCCCCAGAGAACTTGATAAGGAAAGTATCACCATCTTTTAGGGGTTAACACATAGTGTGACATTATTTAAGTATTTACATTAAACTAAAAATATACATTTTTCTGGTATCTACCTAATAGAACCAGCTTTAAATTATTAGGTTATATCCTGGAGTTAAGTGTCTTATTTCAATGTTACTACTAATTCAAATGCATAGAAATGTTTGTTGAATGCTTTTAGAGTGTAAAGCAGACATTGTGTTAGAAGAAGTGATATGTAACTTTACCCAGAATCTGTCCTTGAGGTCAAATGGCAAGAAGTTTGGGTATGACTTTCTAGGCATCTTCAGGCATTAAAATGAGTTGACCCTTTCTTCTAGATTGAGTTTATAGATCAGACACCGATATGAACTAGGCCAACTTTTGTTCATTGAATTGAGTAGGAGCCACCACAGAAGGAGGACTGAAGGACAGGCTCTTGTAATGCCAGATCCTAAGGAAGGCAGGATTTCTCATGTAATTGGGGACGCAAAAACAGATTGGTTGGCTTGTCACGCAGTTATCGCAAATGGGAAGCCTTAAGAAAAAGTGTTCTATGACTCATAAAATTTAAAAAGATGAGACTGCAGACTGCACTGTGGTGACTAGCAATACCCAAAGTCATGTGTAAATTTAGTGTGCAAACTCCTACCAATAGATTAGTTGCAGCATCTGGGAAGATAATAAGCAATTGCTAACTTAGGTCACAGCATAATAACCTTTATTTTTAGCTATTATTCTTGAAATATCCCAGCTGGAATAATAGCTTTTATTAAATAGCTTTAACATATTGTTGACTATTTAGCCTCTCCCTTTCTAAATGTTGTTATGTTTATATTTTTTTTCTACTTTAGGTTTATATCCAGCTTCTGATTATGTTTGTTGAAATTTATATTCAGATAAGTGCTCTACTCAGTAAATATTAGATATTTTCTTAAGCTAACTCTCTATATTCTCTGATCCTCGAATAGTCATAAATAGCTCTTTATACCTTCTGACATAAAAGTTAGTGACTCTAAATCGGAGTTTCTGTGCATACTTGGGTTTTTCACCATCAGAGTATTTTAGCCATGCTTTTCAACCTTTTCTTCTGCCCTAACCCCCTTCTGGAATATGACTTGCTCCCAAAAGTAGTGGTTCACTATTGTGGATATTCTCAGCTGGATTAAGGTGAGGGGACAAAAGTGATTTCAAAGGAGTCTGTTTGCCTCTGATGCCCACTTTTGATATAGATCCTGCCTCCTCAAAGATAATCGCTGTTTCCAAGACTGCACCATGCATTCTTCTTTTTATCGATTACTTAGTTTCAGTTTGGATGTTTGAATACCTAAAGACTGAAAGTCCGGAAAGTGGACAATGTGTTCATATCCCAAACAAGTCCCCAAAGTCCTCAAAGGCTAAGGAGACAACCGAGTCAGCTCCTTCCCCACCACCCCTCTGTTTTGTAGATTATGACAGTGATCTGAAACTGAGGCTCATTTTCTGTAAAAGCTTATTTTCAGTTGTTTCAAAAGTCTCTACCAGATATGGACTTCTATAATATAAAAATTAAGGTTCTTTGTTGTCAGAGATTACTCATTCTGCGCCAAGGGCAATTTCATTTACTCACAAAACTGAAGGTTACCTGTACACTTTTTTGGTGAGAGTGCACCCACATTCTTTCTTTCTGCTTGTGGAAACTTGTGAAATAATCCTCTAAATGAGCACAGTATGAATTCCAAGTAGAAAGTTTTTTTAACAGATACAGTGCATCCCTACCAACCTGACTCCATTTGTGGATTATAATGCAGCTACTTTTGTAAGCACTATCCTTTGGATTCACTAAAGAAAGATTTCTCGTTGATTGATACATCAATTTAAAGCTATGAAACTTATTGAAAGCTAACAGGCTGGTAGACAAAAGGTGTTAGAGGAGTGGCAGACATCAAAAAAACAAAAAAAAACGAGGGTTGAATAAGACATTACATCTAAGGTAAGATGGAAAATGTCATTGAAAGTAGCACTGAATGAGCTACCATGTGAGTTAGGAATTTGAATACCAAATTCGTGAACTCATCTTTCTTGTTATTGGTTTGTTATTCGAAAGTTATGTGAGATTATTGATGAGAGACACTCAAGGCATGCATTGGTTTAATTATCACTTATTGGACATGTACTAAGTGCTAGGCCATCTTATGAGCTGGGAATGTTGGATGAATCCATATGTTTCGTTGATTTGTAAAAATATTGTTAATCACTTGAAACATGCAAAGTTAGCCTACATCTAAACATTTAAAGTTGGTCAAAAAAGTTCAGGGGCTTCTTTGAGGACCTGTTAATTCTAATGTTAATAAAGAGACAAAAATGTTTTCTCACTTTTAGTTAATATTTCCTTGTTCTTTTAAGCTATTTATCCTTCTCCTCCGCCTTATCTCTAGTGCTCCGCGCCCCCACCCCCCCGAAAACAAAAACAAAACCAAAAAACAAAAAACTGTAGAGGATTGCTTTTCTGGTAAAACATTTAGGTAGAAGATTGACTCTTCTCTCTGACTTAAGTTCATTAAAAATATTCAGCTGTTTAAAAATTAAATTTTTATTATAGAGATCTTAAGATAAATTGTGTTGTTGATTTCCGGAGTTAATTTTAGAAGTGAGTAATATAAAAGAAATCATTATGTATGCCGAGTTGGTATTAATATGGTGTAACCTGTTCGGCTTTGATTTAAGTGAATGTCACTGCATTCATCAGAAGCTGTTTCTCTTTTTAAATGAATTTATGCACATACTTGACATGTTCCAAATAAAATCTTGTTTATATACAAACTCCTGGATTTTCATAGGTCACACACACACAAAGGCGGTTGAAAGGTTATCTGAATCAGAACCCTTAGTGAGGCGTTTTGTATGATAAGCTTTCCAATATTCAATTGGAAGCAGATTTTAAAAGTAGTTTATCATTTTATATTTGGCTTTTTAAGTTTCTTCAATAAAGCTTAGATGTAATTGGAAGGGCATGGTTGTGTGTATTCATGCATGTGTTTTAATTATTTGTGTGGTTTTCCCTGGTCTTTCAGGAGCTAATGTAATATAATTGCCAAAATTATATAATTTTAGTGGGTATTTTTTTATATGAGATCTCTTGATTTTCTTTAGCTGTACTCATTGTACACATTGATCATATTTAGTTGTTGCACACAAACCAAGAGAAAAGACTGGCGCTAGCATAGGGAACAATCAATTCTTTAAGAGATGAGCAGAGAACAGAAATGTGTGGAACCAAGGTCTAACAATAAGTGCTAATTTGTTCAGGAGAATCAACTCACCTTTGAAGAAATAAAATTGAAGGAGTAATTATACTATTATAAGTTAGCAGAGTGTGTCATCTATGCTTAAATTACAGTGCATCTGTAGTTTGTTAGATATATACCAGATAAATTAATATAGGCATTCAGTTATGTGATTGTGAAATTAGACACTTTAAGATGGAGGAGTGGATTAGATTTTTTTTTTTATTCTCAACCTAGTAGGTCTTTCTTTAGTGGCTCTCAGAAATACTGATGATAGCCTAGGTGTTATGACTCATTTTAAGTAATTTAGGTTGACGGAGCATAAAGACTGGATAGGCTATAATGTGTGCAGAAATAATTGTCTCCCTTTCATACTAAATAATTCTGGAATTAGAAGCATTTGATCGTTTGGCATAATTAATACACCAGCTAAGGTCCCTCTGAAGGTGGTGGTAGCTTCCGCTTCTGCTTCTTACTCTTCTGCTTGTGCTGCTAACACCTCTAATCCCTGTTTCCCCTTTCCCCTTTCTTCTTTGCCTTTCTTATAGCCTCTCTTCCTTCCTCTTTTCTTCCCTTCCTCCCTCCTTCCTTTCTTTTCAAACAGCTTTATTGAGACATAATTCATATTTCATACAATTCACCCATTTAAAGCTTACAATTCAGTGGTTTTAGTATATTCAAAGTATTGTGCAGCTAATCACAGTGCAACCACAATCTAATTTTAGAATGTTTTATCAGCAGTCAATTCCCATTACCCTTTCCCAGCCCTAAGCAACCATTAATCTACTTTCTGTCTCTATAAATTTGCCTTGCCTGAACCTTTCCTATAACGAAATCATATAATATGTGGTCTTTTGTGACTTCTTTCACTTAGCATAATGTTTTCAAGGTTCATTCATGTGTAATATGTGTCTGTACTTCATACTTTTTTATTACAGAATAATATTCCCTTATACAGATACACCACATTTCATTTTTGTATTCATTGGTTGATAAGCATTTGAGTTGCTTTCATTTTTTTAACTATTATGAATAATGCATTCACATTCATGAATATTTGTGTGCAAGTTCTTGTGTGATTATATATTTTCATTTCTCTCAGTTATATACCTAGAAGTGGAATTGCTGGGGTATATGATAACTGCATTTAACTTTTTGAGAAATTGCCAAACTGTTTTCCAAAGGGGCTGCATTGCTTTACATTCACACCGGCAGAATATGAGGGTTCTGATTTATCCACATCCTCACCATCCCTCTAAGTTTTTGTATTAGCTTAATTGTTTATCTCTGCCCTCTCCTCCCAAGTCTCCTTTCAGTTGCGAATATGATATATATGAGAGCTTCCCAGTGCTTCAATGGACTGGCATGGTAACGTGTTTCTGATGTAGTCTCCAGCTGTAGGCGTTGTTGTCTGTTTCCCCAGTATGCTTTTCAAATATTACTTTCAATTTATACTATGATGTGTAAAAAGTCAGGAAACAAGGCAAATGGACCCAGAACCAACTCCTTTTTTGAAACTTTTTAGACAAGTAGGACTGGTTAGAGTCTCTAAGATTACACCTGATGATATTAAACCTGGCAACTTCCTTGTATGTATGCAAACCAGAGACACTTGGAAAAGCCCGCTTGTGAGAACCAAGAGGTTTGCAAACACGCCAGGGTTTCCCTGGTATGCACCAATATCAACACATGCCATCATGCCCTATGTGGAGCTTACATTATTGTTATCTCTAATTATGGCTGGCTCAGTCCTCTGAGAATTAGATACTCAATACTGAAACAGAACTAAATCTTAGAAAGTGCTCAGGTAGTCAGGTTGCTTTCACTCACTGTTGAAGAGAACACTAGTTATGGTTAAAAGGCTTCGTTGGATTTGAGGTTATTATACTTAAGAAAAGCATTTCCTCTTTTTTTAAAATCCCCCTGCAAGAATCCTGACTCAGTGCAGTTCCTAAATGGAACAGTGCTTTGGGGACCTATGAAGGCCGTCTGCAGGAATTGTTAATTATTTCTAAAAATAACTCCGAGAGACAGGCTAATGGTAATGACTGGGTTCTGGCACTTTATGGTTATAGCAACCACTTTTATATATTTTGATTTCCTCCCCTAATGCTTAATTATCTCCATGTGGGCATTATGATGGTATATCATTGAAAGTATTAAAAATTTAATTAATTGCTTGACATTATATTTGTGGAAACTACAATAGCGGTAATCTTTTTACATTTTTTATTTTTGGTTCAAACAAACCTAACTAATCACAGAGGAACCACAAGATCTTCAGATTGTAAATCAGACACAATAAAGTGTAGCTACCAATTACAGATTTTAGTGTTTTTATATTCTATAGCAACAAATTGCCGAATCTCAAAAAAAGAAAAAAAATCAGCTAAAGCATTCTGTCCTTTCCTGATCTCTACTATATTCTACTGAAAGATTTTAAGCTTTGTCATAGACATATGACTAGAATTACAAATTTAAAAAAAAGTTGTATTCAGACAAGGCAAATATTTAATTATAAATCATGGAAATCCAAGATATTGAATGTGTCAGTGTTTGCATTTTATCGTTCGATGATATAACATTTTACTAATTTTCCGTAATAATCATTGCTTACATTGGTTTATGATGATTTTCTTACTATATTATCATTAATTCTTTACATGGATCTGGGGATATATCTAATAATATGACTAGAGGTTAATATTTAGTTAATCTGAAAATGAATAGAATTTTAAAAATTAATTTTAATTGTCTTTTGATATAAAGAGCAATGAGTTTAACTTGATTTTTAAATCTTGACATAAAAAGGACAAAGAAAAGATTTTACATAATGTTTTAGTATCTCCTTCTCTGTTATTTCAGATAAGACCAGAAATCCCTGTTCCCGATGAGCTAGATGAAGATGAAGATGATGAGGGTGACGAAAAGAATGTGGATCTTTCAGTTCCTGGTTCTTGTTATCTCAAACTGTTGTCACTCACTGCTCCTTTGGTTTTACCAGGTGACTCTTATTTAGTGGCAGGGAGCTAGCATTTTTCAGTGATTTTACCTAGCTGGTTGTATTGATTGTGATGTGTACATATTACAGCTTTAATCTTACATACTTATTTTCTATTTGAAATGCAGAATTATCCATCTGTTCTATAGGGAATGCTTGAGGTAGTATGGTATCAAAATATACTGAATATGTTGGAGTCGAATAAAATTGAACTGGAAAATTAGTTTAAATAATCATTTTTACTGAAAAACCAAAATTCATTTCAAATGCTAAATTTATTCTGTAAGACAAATTTTCATTGTGACTTTAAGTCAATGATTCAAATATGGTTCATTATTATATAAGTTAAGTGAAAAGATCATTAGACTCTTTCAAGATTTACTGGGTAGTTTCATCATTATAATTTATTCTTTCATATTACTCCAAAGATGGTACCAATATTCGAGAACTATAAATTAATGCCTTTTAAGAGTAGATCAAATTATATGATCATTCAGTTTTGACATAAAGTTTATAGTATAGGACCTTGGCATTTAAAAAATTTATTCTAATTATATCTAATTATTCTTTTAACATTAGCCAACATTTTGCGGAGCATGACTCTATTACTGGTTCTGTCCCAATTCTACCCTGAACATTTATGGGTGTAAAAATTTAATTTCTGAAAATTATGTTCAATAAACACAAGAAATCTCATCTTCTCAATCATAATCTCACTAGCCTGTAATGTTAAAAGGTTTTCCCTTGGTTTTATCCCATGTGAAGATTCCCGAGGAATTCAGCCAAATATATATTATTTATTTCTAGACAAAGCTCCTTTCCCAAATCCCCACCTCCTTTCATTAGAGAAAACTGAATGGTACAACTTAGACAGAGAGTTCACCTTTTCTTTTCTCTCGACCTCCAGAACAGGCCTTAAAGATGTGTTCCCCGTTCCTCTCTTCTGTTCCTCCCCACTTCCTACCTCAGAGTCTAGGACCTTTCTTGCAGTTTATAGTGAGTCTGAGGAAGGGAAATGCGTTCAGTTACCAAAGTTCCTCCTGTGTTCTAAAATAGCCTTAGAATTAAAAGTCCTCTTGAGCTTTTTAAATGACGTTGTTCCCTCTTACGTGAGTCCCTCACCCCAGGCTTGTGGTATGAGAAGAAGGAGGAGGGGGAATATACTTGCATGCTATGGTTTCTGTCCTCCCAGTCCGTGCAGTGCCGTGGTGGCCGTTAACTAGCTCCGCTACATGATTTGTACTTGATGATTATTGTGGCTTTCCTTGAGAAAGAAGGGAGGACTTGAGAGCAACAACTGTATGTGTTTGAGAAAATTCAGTAGGAGTAAAATGGGTGGTCTAGATATTATCTGTTCATGGCAGACCATGTCACCATGGGCAAATTTCTTCATTTTTCTGTGCCTCGCTTTTCCAGGAATTACTGGGAACTCAAAAATGAACTAGGAAAAAGTACCAACCTTAGGAATGTTTAGCTTAAAAGGTTCAAGACAGTGACATATATTAGATCTCTAAGTACAGTAGGCAGAAAACCGGATTGCACTGAATGTAAATGAATCCTGGCGCTTTTCTCCTCTTATTTCCTTTCAAGTAAACACAAAAGCAGCAATAAAGTAAATCTGGTAATTTGCATTATTTTAAACAGGAGTGTTACTGGTATTGATTTAATGTTTTGTTTGTTTTTTTTTTTTAATTTAGACTTATAAGATGTTGCAAAAGCAGTTTAGAGAGTATCTGTGAGCTTTTACCCCATTGCTCCCATTGGTAACATCTCGCATAACCTTAGTTCATTATTAAAACCAAGAAATTCATATTGGTACAGTACTGTTAACTATAAATCCATTTGGATTTTACTAGGTTTTTTGGTTTTTTTTTTCATACAGTATATAAATTTGGGGGATTAGTTTTTTTTTTTTCCCCACTCAGCATAATGTCTTTGATTCCATCCAAAAGGTTGTCTGTATGAATTCTTGTTTTTTATTACTGACTAGTATTTCATTGTAAGATGTACCACAGTTATTTTATCCACTCACCTGTTGAAGCACATTTCAATTGTTTTAAAAATTTATTTCTAATGTTGTGTCCTACATATCTTCAGCTCTTTTCAAATTCTCACCTGGTCATCTGGAAGGAAGAGACTAGGGCAAGCCTCAAGGACAATGGGGAAAAAGTCCTACTTGCTAGCTTAGTGGCTGAGGAAGATGGTGCTCTATATATCAATTGCACTCATGTTGTCTTACCCTCATTTAAACTATGCTCAGGGCTGGAGTTATTTGAGAATCCTTAGTTCTCTCAACAGCTTGACAAGTAGACAAGTTTCAAGTCACGGGTAAGTCTACGTGCAGATGTGTATTTATCTCTTGAAATATATCATCTTTTGCCATAATAGGACACCTTCTGAGAAAACATAAAATTACCTTTCATCATACCTCCTCTGTCCTCACAAACAGATGATTCTGGCTACATTCTGAAAAGTCTATATTCATATTCGACTTGAAGCAGTCATACATGTGCATGTGAATGCAGGTATTCGGATATATGGCCTGCAATCGAATGTTCCTCATTTTCTTTCATTTAGATGATGTATTGATTAGGGTCTTGAGAGGAAAGGCACATTCAGATAGAGTATTTGCGAGTTTAATAAAGAGAATATTTACAGTTATGTTGTCAAGGTTAAAGGAAATTTATAAGCTGTGATGAATCATCCCAGAGTGGTTAATGTTCCTCAACCTGAAGAGGTAAGGGGAGGTAGCAGTTAGGAGAATAAGAGCATCTGTGTCATAAATAGGGCTGCCTACAGGAAGCCAGGGCTTTCATAAGAGGGTTGCAGGCACCCTATGGCAATCCTGCAGGTGGTTGTCTGGAGAATACATGCCCTAACCTCACTCTGTTCCACTGTCTGACCTCTTGCCAGTGTCCATTGGATGAAGCCAGAGGACAAGGGAACCTGTTGATGCAATTGTGAACACTTATTTTTCTGGAGCACAGAGCAGGGTTGAGAGGGTAGAGGGTGGATCTAGAGGTGTAAATGAAGAGCATCCCACACAAGTGTTCTCTTGGGCTTTGAATGGAGAAGCTTGGGTGCATTTATGAAGCTTCTATATAAGAATGACAGAACTGAGCACATAATAGATGCCTCAGTGAGCACTTATTGCCTTTAATTTTATCATGATCGTTTAAAGAAGACTTTTAGAGCCCTTCAAAATGAAATTCCAATTTAGTTAGGTGGATCCTTCCTTTTTGATCCTATAATAAGAGGCACATGCAGTGATTCCTTTTTTTCTTTTCCATATTTGTTTAGTTTTAATGTTTTTGTTGTTTTTGTTTCTGCATTGGGCAACCTCTAGTGGTCCTTAGGAAAATAACACTTGACTATTTTGTTTGGGTATCCTATTGTCTCCTGATCCCACATTTCAGTGTTACCTTATAATAAATAAAAATGTCAAGCAATAAATATCTTGAGATTAATTAGAAGGAAGACAAGCAAATAAATAATGAACTAATACGTTGCTTTTTAATAATTGTACTGATATTGCTACAGACCGATAGTCATAAAAGCCCACTCTGAAAATACCTAAATGTCAAGAAGGAGACATTCAAATGGAAATCTGGGACAAGGTAGAAGGAATAGCAAGTGCGGTGGCCCTGGCTTAGTTATGAACTTTGTGTTATTGAGGAATGGGAAAAAGGCCACATGAAAGTGTGCCTTTACCATAGCTAGAAAGGAGGGCGGGTGGTTAGAGTGAGGTTAGAGGGAGAATTAGAGGCCAGATTGTAGAAAGCCTCGATCATTGCCAGAAGTGTTGATGTTATTCTGTGTACAGTGAACATCTATTGGAAGATGTTAGGGAGGGGAATGATATAAAATTCTGGCTTCTGGGTAGAGGGTGGTTTGTAGGGGTGGCCATGAGGAGGAGAAACCAAGAAACTAGTTTTTAAATTAGTCCAGATGATGAAGCAAGGAGATAATGACTTGGCTAGTAAAGTGAAAATGGAGAGAAATGGAGGTATTTGGGATATATTTTTGAAGGTAGATCTAGAAGGAATTGCTAATGGAGTCCATATAAGGAGTATGGGAAAGAGGAAAATTAAGAATGACTAAATATTTAACCTTGAATAGCTAGGTGTCATGTTCTGATTTGGAGAAGACTGAAAAAGGGATGAAAATCAAGAGTCTTTTACTTTGTGAAGTTCGACATGAAATAGGCTAAGTTGTGTGTGTGTGTATGTGTGTGTATGTATGAGTTAAGAGTGTATGTTTCTCCTCTAGCATACTGTATTTACTTTTGATCTGTTATCTCTTTCAGCTTTGGAGGAATTTTTTATATCACTTGTGAAGCAAGAAATGGTAAATATGCCCCGTGGGGTATATCATTCTGCATTAAAAGGAGGTACCCGCTCAGACCAAGGAAAGACTGTAGCAGGAATCCCCAATTTTATATTGAAAATGTATGAAACAAACAAGCAACCAGGTTTGAAACCTGGCCTTGCAGGTGAGCATAGTACATATATCAAAGTATAGGTGTTTAATATTATGTTTTAACTTCCATTTCCAAGTAGGATGGAATAGGTTATGGCAGGGTTAGCAGCAGCTAACATCTAGACACAGCTGGATAAATGACAAAAAAAAAAAAGAATCACATTTTAAAGGCATCAGAGAACTGTAGAAGCAAAGATGATGATTAGCTAGGCTAAAATTCCAGAATGGGAGGACATTTTAGGACTGTTCCTGGCCCTGTAGGGGAAAGTCACTGATTCTGGTTCTGGGCTAGGATTAAGGGTTGGCCAGAAAGTGGCCTGTTGGAGGATAGAGAAAGCAATGGTGCTTTCTGTGGTTCCATGGGACTAGGGTGATATGATGGTTCATTTTATGTGTTAACGTCATTGGGCTAAGAGATGCTTAGCTGCTAAAACATTATTCCTGGATGTGTCTGTGAGTGTGTGTCCAGAAGAGGTTAGCATTTGAATCAGTAGACTGAGTAAAGAAGATCTCCCTTACCGATGTGAGTGGACAACATCCAATCTTTTGAGGGCTTGAATAGAACAATAAGACAAAAGAAGGGTGAATATGTTCTCACTGCTTGAACAGGGACATCCATCTTCTCCTGCCTCTGGACCTTGGCACTCCCGGTTCTCGGGCTTTCAAACTCAAACCGAATTATACCATTGGCTAATAGATATATATCTCCTATTGGTTCTGTCTTCAGCTAATAGATATATATCTCCTATTGGTTCTGTTTCTCTGAAGACTCTGACTAATATGGGAGACAACTGGAGATTTTCCTCATAAGATATTCTCTGAATTTTGAGTTTGTACTGAAAGTTAAAGAACTGGACTGATGCAAAGTGAAATCTCCTTCAGTCTTATGGTGCTTAATAGAATGGGTCTGAAAACAAAGCACACTGAGTACTAAATTGATACTGATGATCTATAGCTCTTTTCACATGGGTGCATTTACTAATTCCAGCCTCAGCTGGAGGCTGAAATTCAGGCTTGGCTTTAGCAAGAGGCTGATGCAGGAAGCAGAGAAATCAATAGAAATCTTGATACTCATGTGGTACCTGAGTGACAAAATGGGAGACTCGAGGGCCCTTAAACACATCCATTTCTCCCTTAAGATATTTGCCAAAATTTGGAACTCTATCAGATGGGAGAGTTAAAGTGGTAAGCTGAAAACCTCTGCGGACAGATCTGAATCTTCCATTATTATTCCATATTGAGGAGTCAAAGACCAATTAGGCTGTCAGTTGAAAATCTTGGGGGAGGCATGTGCTGGTAACAAGGTTAAACCAGAGGCAGACCGAGATTTACTAAAGCTATAATTAAGCCTAACTCAGTTCAATCCCTGACGTGGTTGAGATCAGTCCTTCACTCTATACGCCTAACAGAGGAGAGGGTAACTTTATTTAGATTAAAATTTCTATGGTTTTTTTAAATTTACTATCCAATATACAATGAAAAAGTACTAGACATATGAAAAAGGAAGAAGCTAGACATGCAGGGGACATTTCATGGTACTAAAGAAGTCACTCTTTTGAGAAAAATAGCACTGTTCTAATCAGTGCACACAAAATAAAAATAGCTTCAAAATATGCGACAAAAATTAGCAGAACTAAAAGATGAAATAGACTACCACAATAAGAGAGAGAAACTTTTAACATCTTTTTCAATAGCTTGATGAACAAGCACCCAAAACAATGTTTATAAAATATCTGAACAATACTGTAAATAAACTTTAGTTAATGAATATATAGAACATTGTACCTTACAATGATAGAATTCCTATGCTTTTTAACTGTACATGGGAAACTTATCAAAATAATCATATGACAAACCATAAACTTCAACACATTTCAAAATATTGAAATCATTTAAAGTCTGTCTCTGACAACAATGGGATTAAGCTAAAAATAAGTAACAAAAAGATAACTAGAATATCCCCAGAATTGAAAAATATAAACAATCCTTGGATTAAACAAAGATAGTTTAAATTAAGATAGAAATCAGAAAATATTTTGGTGAATGATAATGAAAATAAACATGGCTTATGGTATTTAGCTAAAACAGTGTTAGAAAAAAATGTATACCTTCAGTGCAAGTATTAGAAAAGAAAAAAGGAAAGTAATCATGACTTAAGCTTTCATCTCAAGAAGCTTGGAAAAGAAAGCAAATTAAACTTAATGAAAGGATAAAGGAAGGAATAATAAAGATATCAAAAATCAGTACAATAGAAAACAAAGAAAATCAGCAAAGCCAAAAGTTGATTTTTTTTTGAAAAGTTTAACAAAATGATAAAGCCATTGTAAGTATGGACAATAAAATAGAGAAATATAGATATCAGGAATAACAAAGAGATACCACTTCAGACCCTATAGCAATCAAAAAGATAATAAAAGTATTAATAAAGCACTTTAGTCAGTAAATTCACGGTTTGGATGAGGTATAGAAATTCATCAAATATAAAACTTTGTAGAACTAACAGAAGGATGAATAGACCGTATCAATAGTTTGACATGTATTAAAGAAATTGAATCTATAACAACCTTCCCACAAAGAAAACCCTCGGTGTAGATGCCTTCCTTGGTGAATTCTTCCCAAAATTTAAGGGAGAAATAATGATCTTTCATAAATTCTAACAGAGAATAGAAAAAAAAAGAACCATCTTTATGAGATCAGGATAATCTTAATACCAAAACCTGACAAATACAAGAAGGGAATATTACAAACCAATTTCTATCATGAATATAGTTGCAAAAATACTCGCCTACCTCCTCAAAAAAATATTAGAAAATTGAACTGAGCAATACAAACAGAGGATAATGTATAACAAGTGTGGTTAATTTCATGTTTGAAAATCAATATATTTTACTAATCGGAAAAGGCAGAACAATCTTTAGATCTCAGTAGATGCAGAAAACACCTTTGAAAAATTGAGCTCCTATTCATGATATTAAAAAAATATTTTCATTAAACTATAAATAGAAGGGAACTTTTATTCTGACAAAAAGTATCTACAGTGCCATCTTCGTACTTAATACTAAAATATTGAAACTTTTACTTCTTAATTGTGTCATCACCACAGTTATTCAATATTGTAATGGAGGCCATAGCTAGTGTAATAAGTCAAAATAAAGTCATGAGGATTAGAAAGGAAGAAATAAAATAGTCATTATTTGCAGATGATTGTGTACATGATTGTGTAAGTGATAGAAAACTCAAAATTAGACTATGGTTAATAAATGAATTCAGCAAAATTACTGCATACATACAAAAGTCAACATGTGAAAAATCAGTGATATGTTTTATATACCATAAAAAAATAAAGAATGAATTTAAAAACTTATACCATTTACAGTAGCATCAAAAAATATCAAGTACTCAGAATAAATTTAGCCAAAAGTACGTAAAATCCTTATGCTGGAAGCTATGGAATATAATGGAGAAAAATAAAGAAATCTTAGCAAATGAAGTGATATACAATGTTTATGAATTAGAAGGTTCTGTGTTGTAAAAATGTTCATTCTCTTCATATTGATATATATGAAGAGACAAATCAACATCCCACTAAGTTTTTTTTTGGAAATTGACAAACTGATTCTAAAATTTGTGTGAAAATGCACAAATAGCCAAGGTAATCTTGAAGAATGAAAACAAAGTAGGAGGACATACATTATCAAATATCAAGACCTATTATAAAGCCACAATAATTGGCAGTGTGGTATTAGTGCTAGGATAGACAAACTGACCAATGGAAGATATAGAGTGTTCAGAAATAGACCCACATATACAAGGTCAACAGATTTGTTACAAACGTTGTGGAGAAAAGGGATATTTATAACATGATTCTATAATTAAAAACTCTAGTTATAAAGATGACAAATTATTTTAAAATCAACATGTGTTAATCAAATATACCATTAAGAGAATGAAAGGCAAGCCCCAGAATGCAAAAAGGTAATTATAATACATGTAAGATAAAGAACTCATATCTCAAATATATAAATTTTTGCAAATTGATAAGAAAAGACAATTGAAAAACAGGAAAAGGATTGAAAACACCCTTCAAAATGAGGGTATTCAAATATCTAATGAACATATGAGTAGGCGATCAACTGTGTTAGTTATGAGAGAAATGCAAATTAAAACAATAAGATACCACTGTACACTAACAGAATGGCTAAAATGAAAAAGGTGGAAAATACAAAGTATTGGTAAATATGTTGAGCAACTAGAACTGCTGCTAGAATGTAAGTTAGTACAACCATTGTGGAAAACTGGTACCAAACAAATTTATACTCTGTTACTCAGCTATTTCATCAGCCAAATGAAGTCACTAGAAGACATATACTATAATGTTCATAGCCACATTGAGTAGCCCTAAACTGGGAAGCTATCTAAATGCCTGTTGACGGTAAAATGGATAAATTGTGGTATATTCACATGATGCAATATTATTCAGCAATGAGAATGAATATACTATAGCCGCCAACAACAGTCTGAATGATTCTTAAAGTAATTATGTTGAGTGAAAGAAGCCAGGTATAAAGTGATGTTACAGTCTAATTCCACTTATATAAGGTACCAAAGTAGGCAAAATGGTTGCTAGACAGTGCTACCTTTGAGTTAGTGTATGTGACTGGGAGGAGATGAGGAAAGGCTTCTGGGGCGTTAATAATGTTTTGTTTCTTGATCTGGGTGCTGATTATACATTTCTTTAGTTTGTGAAAATTCTTTGAGCTGTATGCTTATGATATGTGCTCTTTTCTCTGTATATACCATACTTCAAAAAGAGATTTTAAAAAATGTAATGATTTCTGTGTTTTAAATTATCTCAGTCCTTGAATGTGTCTTCTCTTTGACTCAAAATTACCCAGGTAGTTCCGAAGACTTCTCTAACTCGTGCTCCAGCACTTGGCTTTCTGCTCTTGCTTCTCCATTGACACTGGGTGCCAGCTGGAGCCGGAAGTTCAGTTTGAGAACTCAGTTGACCAGAGTGGGAAGGACTGGGAAGAGAGGATTAGAGGAGAAGGAGGAGGGAAAAAAAGGGAGAATGAATGTGTGTGAATGCCATTGTGAGGGAGAACTTGTCTCTTTGTAGGTATAGACTAAAGGAACCCACATTATCAGTAGTTCACAAAGATTGATATATGCAAACATTTCTCTTTAACTGAAATTTATTTTTTTTTAAAAAAAGCTTAATAGACTCTAGAAATAACAGTTCACAAAAATTAAAACAATTCATGAACTGTAAATTTATTCATTTACTTATAAATGAATAAAGCTTGTAAATAAGTGATAGTTTAAATATAATAATTTTTTTATTTTTTTTTCTTTCTTGGTGCCTATAGTCAAAAATCAAATTTGCTTAGCAGATTCTCTTTTAATTTCTAAATCCATCTAGATTGATTGAATATGGATTTATGATAATCTAAGGAAGTTTTTATAAGAAATGTTTCTATAAGTTTTTTTTCTTTTTTAAGGTGGTATGTTATTTTGTTACGATATTTCAATGTATCAGAGTAAAGATGGCAAACCATTGAATCGACTGATGGCCAGTAGAGGGCGAAGTTTCAAGCAGACCTCCCTTGCTCTGGTGCATGAGGTAGGTGCCTTCCAATAACTAACAGAGTCGTCTTGCTTGTTTATATTTTGGGGTTTCTCTCCTTCAGTTTATGCTCATGAAATGTAGTATGTATTGGGAAATAGTTTTTCTCTATCATAATTAATGTAAGTTGCTTTTAAAAGCAGTCAAAATAGCTGACTCAACTGAATACTAAAACATTTTGATGTTATTTTTTGAGAGAAACTATCATGTTTCCCTTACTGCCTAGCCTACTATTTGGGATTAGTATCTAGGAATTTGGTTTATTGCGTCAGTGTTTACCTTCCAGTGTTCAGAATAAATACCAATTTATTATGTAAAGAAATAATGTCTATTTCTTAATTTAATCCTTTGCAAGTATGTAGGGCTCCAGTGTTCATGTTTTGTTAATTTGGGGAAGTAACAGTAAATAAATTGTTTAAGGAAAAAAAAACCTTTGGTTTTAGTGTTTATTTTACTTTTCTCTTAGGCTACCCTTTTAAAATAAAGTTATATAATGCCATTAGATAATTGCATGAAATCTGATCATTGCAGATTACAGCAATACCAGAGAGAAGAGGGAAGTATCTTGGAAATATGTTTTTGTTGTTGTTTTTAATTTTTTTATGACATTTACTCATTCAGGTATATATAAATTAAAATGTATGAATGACTAGCAAAACAAAATATAGCAAAGAGGTTTATTTATATAATTTAGATGTAACATATAGCAGTTACAAAAGAAAATATGTTATTAAAATTTAATAGATTTGATGTAAAAATAGTTAAGGCTTCTATACTATGTATTAAATCTTGTATTGATGCATAATTTATAAATCTTGATATCACCAATTTGGTTTGATTATTTTCTGTATCATACCAATTACCACCAGTTAGCATAGCTCGTTATTAAAGACCCGTCTTTATCCAATGCCACCTTGTTCCTGTCATAAATTTAATTAGGGTTGAAATTATGTAACTGGTTCAGAAACTTATTTTGTCTAACACAGTGTCTTCATTTAACTGAGGGAAGAAAGATCTGGACAGAGCAGTGTTTCTCTGGGAAGAAGAGAGGTTTAATTTCACAAAAGAGGGAAAACCATAGGTGATTTCTAGATTTATTTTTCCTAGCATCTTACTAGTTGATGTGGAAAGGGGAGAAATTCAGTACCTTTTGGGTTTTTCAGCTGTGCATGTTGATATTGGAAGGATAACCAAAATGTTAAATATTACTGGAAAGCCAATTTTAAAAGTCACTATCAGAATAGAAACAAGAAAAAGTATTAATGTGGGGGAATGGCAGAAGACATCTAATAGATTCAGCAAATGGTATCAGAACTTATGTGTGCCTTAGATATGAACAGAGAACATATTTGGTTTAAGATATCTGTTTCTTATGTTGTAGAATGCATGCCTAGAAAATTTCAGAGATGAGAAAATAAGATCATTATTTTAGGAGTCAGTTGGAAAACATACTGGACAGAATTCTGCCAAATCTATGGTAGGATTTTTGTTTGGATTTATCTTCTGCTTACTATAATTCATTAAAAATAAAGGCAGATGATGAGCCATACCGTTTCTCAAACCATGTGACAACAAATAATAAGAGTTCAAAGAATTGATTAATAAGAATAACAATTGCATGGAGTTTGAGTGATAAACACACAATAGAATATACAGATGTCAAATGATAATGTATACCTGAAAATTATATAATTGTATTAACCAATGTTACCCCAAGAAACTTAATTAAAAAAAAGAATAACAATTGCAATAATAATAGCTAATGATCAGCTCAGGTACTTAAAAATATGCTAGATGTGCATTAATTCATTTAATCTCAACATTAGCACTGTGAGGTTGGTACTGTTAATGTGCTCAAAATCACAGAGCTGATAAGTAGAGGAGCCTGGAGATTGAACCCAGTCAGCATCACTCCACAGTCCTTTAACTTCCTTATTCCTTCCCAGGTTAAGCAGAGAACATTTTTTAAATATCTTTAGATCTTTCCAAGATGACTAGTATTTCCTATCTCTTCTTGCTTCTAGTGTTTTTATTGTTGTAATCTATTTGGTATTTTTTTCCCAATGAAGTTTCTTCAAACTCTGACTTGATTTCCAACACTGCTCTATTCTCAGTCTTTTTATTTAAAAAAACAAAAACAAAAAAAATTAAACCTGTCATGAGAGTTTCAGTTTGTTTATTAATTCACTCATTGACGGACCTGTGGGTTGCTTCCTGTTTTTAGTGATTATGACTAAAGCTGCTAAAAACATTCTCATACAGATGTATGTGTAGATATTTGTTTTCATTTCTTTTGAGTAAATAAATACCTAGGAGCGGGATTGCTAAGTCATATGGTAAGTGAATATAAGAAACTACCAGACTGTTTTCCTAGTGACTGTTCCATTTTGAATACTTACCAGAAATGTAAGAGAGTTACAGTTGCTCTGTCTCCTTGTCAGTGCTTAATGTGGTCAGTTTTTTGAAATTTAGCCATTCTCATACATGAGTAGTGGTTTCCCTTTTGTGTTTCCTTAATGATTATTGATATCAAGCATCTTTTCATATATTTATTTGCCATTCATATCTTCCATGAGGTGTCTTGACCATTTGCCCATTTTTAATTAGGTTTTTGTTTTCAATTGAGAGTTCTTTATATATTCTAGATGTAAAACATTTATTAGAAATGTTTTTCACACGTTTTTACCTAATCTATAACCTGTGTTTTGATTTGCTTAAGTGTCTTTTGATGAACATTTAGTTTTGAAGAATTCCAATTTATCAAGTTTTTCTTTTTATGGTTCTTGCTTTTTTGTCTAACCCAAAGACTCAAAGAAACTTTTCTTTTTTCTCTTATGTATTTCTTTTATTTAAAAAAAATTAATGTATAATTATTATAGCATAAAATTCACTCATTTAAAGTGTGCAATTCGGTGGTCTTAGTATATTCATAGAGTTGTGTTAACTGTACCACAATCAATTTTAGAATATTTGCAACACACCAAAAAGAAACTCTGTGCCCTTCAGCAGTCATTTTCCGTTTTCCTCTCTCCCCAGCCTCTAGCAACCACTAAACCCCTTTCTGTCTCTCTATAGATTTGGACATTTTACATAAATGGAATCATATAGTATGTGGGCTTTTTTCACTTAATATACTGTTTTCAAAGTTTATATATACTGTTGCATATATCAGTACTTCAGTTCTTTTTATGGCTGAATAATATTCCAACATATGAATATACCATAGATCATGCGTCCATTAATCACTTGATGGATCTCCTGTATTTTCTTGTAGAAGTTTTCTAGTTTAAGATTTACATTTGTGCCTATGGAGTATTTGAGTTAATTTTTTATAAGTTATGAGTTATATTTGTTGAATATGCCATCTTTTCTCCATCTGGGCACCTTTGTCAAAAATCATTTGTCCATTTTTGTGTGTGTCTATTTCCGTACTCAGATTTATTCCATTGATCTATGTATGTATACTTTCATCAAAACTACATAACTTAGTTACTGTTGCTCTATAATAAATCTTGAAATCAAGCAATATGAGTCTTCCAGTCTTGTTCCTCCCCCACCACCCGCCACCAATTTGACTATCTTAGGCCATTTGTTTTTCCGCATAAGTTTTAAATTAGCTTTGAGAAGCCACAAAAAAAGCCTGCTGTAATTTTGATTTTAAAATGCATTAAATCTGTAGATCGGTTTAGGAGAGAATTGACATCTTAACAATATTGAGTCTTTCAATTCATGTACAATATATATCTTTCCATTATTTTAGGTCAATATTTTGTTGTTTTCTTATTACAAACCTTGCATGTATTTTGCTTAATTTCATAAACATTGTATATCCCTAAGTATTTTGTTGCTGATGCAATTACACTGGTTTTTTTTCCTTTAATTTCTAACTCCTCATTGCTAGATATAAATGTATAATTGATACTTTTCTATGACCTCACTAAACCCACTTATATATTCTTGAAGCCTTTTGTCGATAATTTGATTTTCATTTTAATGTTGTCTGCGAATAGAGATGGTATTAATGTGTTTCTTTCTGATCTGTATGCCTTTCATTTCTTTTCTTTTCTCCTCTCCCCCTTTGCTCCCCTTTCTTCCCCTTCCCTCTCCTCTTTTATTGCATTGTCTAGGGCCCTCCAAGACAATGTTGAGTAGGAGTAGTGAGAGCAGACATTCTTGTATACAGTCTTGGAGGAAAGCATTTAGTGTTAACTAACATGATGTTAGTATAGCTTTTTTGTAGATATCCTCTATCAGATTAGCGAAGTTTCCTTTTCTAAATTGTTGGAAATTTTTATCACAAATGAATGTTGAGTTTTTGTCAAACTTTTTTTGCATCTGTTGAGGTGATTGTATACGTTTTTAGTTTGTAGATACGAGAAATTATTTTGATTGATTTTCTATTGTGAACCAAACCTGCATTCCTGAGATAAACTACACTTGATCAAAATGTATTATCCTATTTATATATTGCTGAATTTGATTTGCTAATAATATTTTATTAAGGATTTTTGCATCTATGCCCATGAGGGACATTGGGTAGTTTCTTTGCAGTATCTTTGGCTAGTATGTTGTCAGGGTAATTCTATCCTAATAAATAATTTTTCTTTAAATATTTGGTAGAATTTTCCAGTGAAACCATCTAGACTTGGAGATTTCTTTAGGAATGTTTGTAACTACAGATTCCATTTATTTAATATATGAGACGCTGTATTCATTTTTATCCATCCATCCATCCATCCATATTAATCTTTAGGGGGGATTTCGATGGCACAACATATACAATAATTAGTGTCTGTCTCCTTTTTTAAAGTGTACATTTCATAAAATCAGGAATTGGTTTTTTTTTTTTTTTTTGGTCATGTGTAGTTTCAGTGCTTGGTATTTCTGGCACATATTAGACATTTCATAAATGTTTGTTGAATTAATGATTTTAATTCTTTTGAAACTTAGATGTGTCTTATACTAAATACATCCATTTCATGGAATAGTTTCCTTTT